TCAAGGGATCCCCTGTTGATAGACTGTGTAATCGATCGAGGATAAAGCAAGACCACCACACTAATTTCTTGGTATGTTTATTATTGCTCTGATAGATAGCACCGTTTTTTCGATTAAGTCTCATATTTTGAGCCATGTGAATAGCCATGAAAGAATAAGATTGCGGTCGATAAGACGATGTTTTTCCTTGATCAACCATGCATAGTAAGATCAAGGCTTGCACTGTAGATAGCCTTGGCGCATCGAGGAAATAATCCAATAAATCTTTGAAAGAGGGGTAATAAGAAAAAAAATCATTATTCATTATATACTTAAAATTATTAAACTGCTTACTTTTTGCAAGTTCATAGAATGTCGTTGGATTATAAGAGTCCTGTAATATTGGTGGATATGAGGCGCCAACAGCGTAAATAGCATTCATGAGTAACGGTGATGGCTGATTGTCAGTACTTTGCAATTGCTGGCAAAGTTGTGTTCGATCTATTATCGGAAAGCACGGATAAAAATGCGTGAAAAACTTTTCCAAGAGTTGATTCACGATATCTTGTGGCGGAGGAGTAATTTGTGGTAAAGAACTTGGTATCTCTGGCTCTGAGTATGAGCCAGGCTGATGTGGTAGAGTGCTATCCTGATAATTATTGTCAGTGAAATCTGTTAAATTCTTTTGAACATCCTCTTCGTCATCGCTACCGAGGTCATCGCCAAAAGACTCTTGTGGTTCTAATAGAGAATTCCCATCAACTGGTGGAGTGTTAGGTGTATAGTTAGTGTTATTATATTTTCGACGATTACCCGTCTCCTTGTTTGTTTGTTCTTGTTTTAGTTCCTTAACCAAAGATTCTATGGACTGTAGTTTTTCTCCTATATCCACAAGGAATCCTTTAGGTGGTCCTCTAGGTCGTTTTGTTGAAGCATCAGGAAAAGTGCATTGATATCCTATATTGTTAATTTGACAGAAATGATGAATATATATATAATGGGACGTGGAGAATAAAAGATCAAAGGATTCAAAAGCTTACCTTCTCTTTCGCAATTAGCACAGGGAGAACCACCGTCACATTTAGCTTTTCGCTGACGGCAAGTATCGCATGCCGTTGTGACTTTTAATCGTTTATTTTCGTGAGGATTGCTTGATTCGTCGACAAGCATATTGTCATTCGGAAAGTGATTTTTGGCTAGATAGAATTTTGTATTTGCAAAATCTTTTCTAGCTAATTAATATATTGATAATACAATGAATGGGTATTATCAAAGATCCGTCGTCGAACACTAACAAAGAGACATGGAAAGGGTAATTTTATTAGATGGGGGAGAAAATATAGCATAAATTTATAGGTAGGAATTTTTAATATTGATTACATTTTAAATCATCTAGGATAATAATGCCCGTGCAACTGCAGGCTGCACTCTTCTAAGTATCTCGATATCTCGACCGTACTCAAAAGAATTATGGAAAAACATAACATTCAGGAGAAAAAAACATTTCTTTCCTATATTCAAGATTTTTCCGCTGCTTGTCTATGTATAGCGGTGACACCGCTCTGTATTTATCATTATCGTTATATGTTAGTTAATACAATTAAACTAGATTATTATGCGTGTTTGATCTATTATATAAATTCTACACTAACCATTAATATAATCATAATGATGGTTACACGTAATTAATAAGTTAATTACTGTATTAATTACTGTATTTACCATATACATAAAATCTAAAAATAGTAGTATGTATAATTCGTTCTGTAACTTAAATAAGAATCTGTGTGCACAGACATAGTTGAATTCGGTGATCTCATTTTCTTCAATACGAGGATTTTCTTGGATATTTTAGTGTATACTTTAACAGGTTAGTCGTTTATTATGAATATGACGATTCTGGCTGATAATCAAAAGTTGATTTTTCGGCCTAGTCGGCTGATTTTTAGTATAACATACTAAAAAAGTAAGCTAATATACATGTAACTAAGGTTGTAACCCAAAATTAATATGATGTAAACTAGGTTGTAACCTCGTAGCCTAGACATGGCAAAAAAAGGTGTCGGGTCATGTGATCTGAAATAGCTCCATTAAAATATCGGATTAATATTAGATAGGGTTAGGAGATCAAGATTATATATAAAATTGGCTTCTTGTGCCGGATTTGTTTTGCCGGGTTGATCAAAAATTTGCTACATTCCTATTGGTTGCGCAGAATTTTTGTGCATTCTTATTGGTTGGATTGGTTTATCGACACCTTTTTTTGCCATGGCTAGGGTTCTCGTTGTAACCCTTGACCTGAGAAAGTTTATCCAACATCAATGATCTTTGTAAATAGAGCATTTTATCGGGCTAATCTTATCACTGACAAATATTTTATAAGTTATCCAAGAAATATAATTTAATGGTCCAAGGGTGATCATTTATTTTGTTAATCCAATGTTAAATATTTTTGTGATTAATATGAAATAAATTGTTCGAATTAAATAAAGAAATAAATTGTTCGAATTAAATAAAGAAATAAATTGTTCGAATTAAATAAAGAAATAAATTGTTCGAATTAAATAAAGGATGACTTTTAGATCAAACATAACAAACACACGAACTCTGCGTGTAATTCGTTACTGGAATAAGTTCGAGTTAAATACTAATCAATACACTGAAGTTTTGAAAAGACAATTAATTAATAGTAAAATATTTTTAAAATAAAAATAAAAACATTGTTCATTAGAAAAAAAAGCATGATTTAAATATAAATAAAATGCAACTTTTCGCCAATGATCAAGCAAATAAAATGATATAGTACAAGAAAGATTAAAAGAAATTCAAATGGTTAATATAAAAAAAATGCAAAATAGAGAGGGTAACAGCTTCCAGAAATCTCAAGATATATTCAAAGAGAGAAGTGCTCTGCTTTAAAAATAAGCATTATGCCGGACAATGCGTATTTTACAGCTTATCGATATTACTTTGCCTACATCACTACCACAACAATCAGCACCACCACCTCTAATAAAAGAATAAACATTAATTCTATATTTGAATATGCAATTTAAAATCAATTAGTTTCATATAAATCATAAGTAATAATACTAACGACAGAAATGCCTTGAGACATACTGTGATAATGACGAACCAAGATATCGTTAATCAATGTTGTTTAAGTATCTTTTTGACCAGGATGGTGTTCAGAGGAAGTGGATGACGCCAAAGAAGATGAGGGGATGGCATTTGATAACTGAGGTGAAGCAAGATGATACTGTATATGTTGTAGTGATGGATAGACACTCGCAGATGATGAACCAGAATTTGCCAATTTATAAGTATTATTGAATCCAACAAAATTAGTTTGAGATCCAGGGACATTCATATACATATTCCAGTATGGATTATCTCCTTGGCCTAAATTAAACGCAGCCATCGTATTAGTTGAAGAAACGGTCGGGTCGAAAATTTCATCCGATCCGAAGGCTGAAGAGGTAACTGTGTCTGGAAGAAAGGCCCGAGTAGTTGGTTGTGTATATGGGGGTTGTTGAACATAAGTGAACGTGGACGTATGATGAATGCTAGAAGATCGAGAACCAGGATCTGTTATGGGACTGCTCAAATGTGTTGACGCAGGCGAAGAGTATAGACTGAAAGAGTTGTTGGGAATTGTAAGTGTCGAAGGAGAATGATCAGCTAAAGGTGATGCAAACATTGTAGTGTGAGGTATATTTGAGGGCACAATAGTAGTGGTTGATGAAAGGATAACTGTTTCCATGGATTGATCTCGGTGTGTTATCAAAACACTTTCCAATTTTTCAATCGTTTGATTGGCTAACTCTGACATTACTCCATGTCCAGCATAGAATCGAGCAACATCAATTATCTTATGAATGTTCTTATAAGCATGGCCGGCTAAACCTCTATCTGCAGAAGTAATATTGGTAACATAGACTTTCGCCGCTTGCGCCAGGCAATGAAACATGGTTGGATATGTTATGCATACATATACATTATTTAATGATACAACTAAATAATAAAAATAATTATCTATTAGAATTATTATCCTTATAACATAATAAAAAAGAGTAAAAAATACATACCACCAATGCGTAAAATTGTGTTAGCTGCGGTGATGCACGCATTCAAAGATCTGAGATAAGTTTCCGAATTTCGTGAGCCAGTCGATCGTGAGTGATATGAAATAAGGTAAGGATAATGTAGCATAATCTTCAGAGTATAATAGTGCATGTGGAGAGCTGCGATTTGACCAGCAAATGGAATACTATGATCTGCAAGTGGGCGTTGCAGACATGGTAATTCACGTGCATAGCTTATAAGCATAGCTTCATAACGAGATATCATATTATGATGAGCCCAAGTTATTGTTGGAATGCTTGTGTATGCTGTCATCTGAAGGTAACTGATTATCTGTCCCATTAACTGCGTTAATCGAATAAAATGCACAAATATCGTAACAGTTTGTGCATGTGATTGGTCATCTACTTCATCTGCTGATGGAAGTTCAATATCACAAATTTCTTCATTAATTGTCAAGGGATCTCCTGTTGATAGACTGTGTAATCGATCGAGGATAAAGCAAGACCACCACACTAATTTCTTGGTATGTTTATTATTACTCTTATAGATAGCACCGTTTTTTCGATGAAGTCTCATACTTTGAGCCATGTGAATAGCCATGAAACAATAAGATTGCGGTCGATAAGACGATGTTTTTCCTTGATCGACCATGCATAGCAAGATCAAGGCTTGCACTGTAGATAGTCTTGGAGTATCGAGGAAATAATCCAACAAATCTTTGAGAAAGGGGGTAATAAGAAAAAATTCATTATTAATTCGTATACTAAAAATAATTTAAAATTATTCTTAAACTGCTTACTTTTTGCAAGTTCATAGAATGTCGTTAAACTATAAGAGTCCTGTAATATTGGTAGATATGAAGCGCCAACAGCGTAAATAGCATTCATGAGTAACGGTGATGGCTGATTATCAGTACTTTGCAATTGCTGGTAAAGTTGTGTTCGATCTATTATCGGAAAGAACGGATGAAAATGCGTGAAAAACTTTTCCAAGAGTTGATTCACGATATTTTGTGGCGGAGGAGTAATTTGTGGTAAAGAACTTGGTATCTCTGGCTCTGAGTATGAGCCAGGCTGCTGTGGTAGAGTGCTATCCTGATAATTATTGTCAGTGAAACCTGTTAAATTCTTTTGAACATCCTCTTCATCATCACTACCAAGGTCATCGCCAAAAGACTCTTGTGGTTCTAATAGAGAATTCCCATCAACTGGTGGAGTGTTAGGTGTAAATGGATGTGTATTGTTGGTGTTATTATATTTTCGACGAATACCCGTCTCCTTGTTTGATTGTTCTTGTTTTATTTCCTTAACCAAAGATTCTATGGAGTGTAGTTTTTCTCCTATATCCACAAGAAATCCTTTAGGTGGTCCTCTAGGTCGTTTCGTCGAAATGTCAAATATACATTGATATCCTATATCGATATTATTATTGTTAATTTGATAGGTAACACACAGAAATTAGGCTGCGGAGAATAAAAAGATCAGCTTACCTCCTCTTTCACAATTGTCACATGGAGAAGTACCATTGCATTTAGCTTTTTGCCGACGACAAGTGTCACAGGCCGTCGTGATTTTTACTCGTTTGTTTTCGTGAGAATCGCTTGGTTCGCCGACAATCATATTCAGGGAAAATCGGTGTTTTTTTGAACTTGCAAAGTCTTTTCTAGCTATTCTTAATAATGTTGTTCTATTAACACTATGGTATTAATACTATGGTAATATTGATACGTAATTTAATGAATGGGTGCGTAAACGAGCTATCAAAGACCCGTCGTCGAACACCAACAAAGAGCAAAAAAGAGAGAGAAATCGAAAAAATTCTCGAAAGAAAGTAGGTGGTTTAAATAGACAGCATAACCTAAATTGTACTGGTTCGTATTCAGGTAAATATTTGTTCAGTCACGATACTATACGTTTTATGTAGCACCAGAAGAAATGGAAAGGGGTTCAGGATCTTTCGCTTGTGTGTCGATATATATTCTATTAACCATAAAAAGCAAAAATATGATTCAAAATGAAACAGTACAATACTAATACAGATTAGCAAAATAGTTTATACTCTAAAGTTTCTCGACTGCAACTTCAAACCTACACATTATAGTGAATCATAAAATGGAACTTCCAATAGTGACTGTTAAGGATATACGCGCTGATAAAGACTTAAAGCCCCTCTGAATTTTTAATTTTACATATCAATCAATCAACCAACCAACGTTTCTCAATTATAAAGATCACTAAAGAAATTTGCTAGATACAAGTTTGTTTTGTATCAGTAACACACATTTAAATGTGAATATTCTGGCAGAAAAAAAACTATTATCCCTATAATTAAGATTTTCCGCTTCTTTTTAACATAATTCCCTCCGACATATATATATTATATTGCCATATCTGTTCTCAAATGACGACATGATGTTCACAACAATGCACATGTTCATGCACTGAACATCGAGACTAAATCTTATTCGGAATCAATATACTATATACTATCAAGTGGAACGTGAATCAGCTTTATTATGACCCTCAGAAAGTTATAACATATCGATATGTCGTAACTAATTACGACTTATGTCGTAACTAATTACGACTTATGTCATAACTAGTTACGGCAGTTATGTTTGCACCCCAAAATTTAATTCGGCTTTTGGATAACAAGACTTCGCTATGTATTTCGAAAAAAGTCTGCAAATAAGTAGAGAGGGAAAAGCGTTAATTAATACTTAATATAGTCAACCCTCGTTAATATGACATCGTCGAGACAGAGGATATTGAATAAATATAACGTAATGCAATTTAACATTGATATGATGTAGAGCAAAAAAGGCTGTAATTGTTTGGACGTGACATTTTGGTCATACTAATGCGGAATGTCATAGTAACCGATATCATATTAATTCTCGTCTATTTTTTACGAATATTCGATAAGTAAATTAAGCGGATGAACAATAATCACTCATTATTATCAGCATGTAAAGTTAGTCATTTTTTTATTCGTTCATTTTCATGTAAAACAGGCGTTTTGCTAATTTGTCTATTTGTAAAAAACCTCACGAATTATTGATGAGCAGACTATCCTAAAAAAATCTATTATTCCGTATCAAAAATAATTTTCCGATTGTTTTACGTACTTGTATATGATTTTCAAGACAACCAATTAATGTAAAGTAGCATTAATGACCGCGCACTTGCAATTTTTTAAGTCTAAACTCTTCTATCTATGTTCTATGCTACGTAGGTGTATTTAAGCATTTTCTTGGCAAATTTTAAATTATTGAGAAAGTAAATAATCAGTATTTTTATTTTCGAAATTCAATTATGGTCTCTTGTTTCAAGAATATTCACTTGGAATGTACTTTGTACTAGATTTCTTTGTTAGAAAACAAAATCTAAAAATAGAACAAATTTCCATTGATGAAGAAAATACAAATAAATGTGATAGCGTTCTACAACTTGAAACAAATACGTAATGCAAATCCCCGATATGTAATAGACAAAGAATTGTCATCAAATGTACTGTGCACAGTAGTTTTAATCTTCGGTTCCAAAACAGTTTATTTATATCAGAGAAAAAAGTAATCACTCATCCACAATTACACTGTTAGTTGTTGATGTAAAAATTATTTTGTCATCAAAATGTGCATCTAGAATGTTATTTTATCGAGTATCTGTGCATTTTCATTCATTTACCGCGCTAAAATTGATAGCAATAGGCAGTAAGAATATAAATAATATAAATGTACAGTGATCTATTTATTTAGTCGTCACTAAATCGAAAACACAAATAATAGAAAATAAAGATCGCAATTCAACAAGATGTATCTTATAATAAAGTTTCGTATAATTACTAAAATGACAAAGGACTAATGCTTATAGATAACTGTGACTTGATGGAAATTATTATCACGGCTGCAATACCAACTAGATTATTCTATAACAAAATGAACTAGTAGATTTCTCTTATAAATAGTTTTGTCTTTTACTATCGCTATAAGAATTCATGTGTGAATAACATTAGCATTTCAATTTCAATATATTAGTACAGCTGTAAATCAGATTTATAACTTAAATATTCTATTAGTTAAAAATAATTAATTATAAATCCCATAAAAGATTAATTATATGATTTAATATACAGTGACTAACAAAATTATGAAATTATGCATGCAATTTTGTTAATAAAATACAGTAAAAATTGAAATTTTGTATTTTATATAAAAGTTTTCAATTTTATTAATAAATATTTTTTATTTTTATATCAAATAAAATTATAAGTTATATTTTAACATATATTTATTCTGAATTTTTTAGCTTTATCTGACAAAGTTATTGCAAAATTTTTTTATAATTAAAATGTAAAATTAATTATAAAATTTTTTACAATAATTTTGTAATTAGAATAACTTTGTCAAATTAAATCTAAAAATTCAAAATAAATATATGCTAAAATATTACTTAAAATAAAAAATATTTATCAATAAAATTGAATTCAATTTTTGTTGTATTTTATTAATAAAATTGCATATATAATTTTATAATTTGTTAATTATTATAAAATAAAAAATATTTATTAATAAAGTTAAAAGCTTTTATATAGTAACTAATAAAACTATATATATAATTTTATTAATAAATATAGTAAAAATTAAAGTTTTTGTTTTATATATAATAATTTATAAAAGTATATATTACTTTTAAAATTTATTTTTCAATTAAGGATTTTTATTTTTATACAAAAATAACAATTTATAATTTGGAATTATATATACAATTTTATTAATAAAATATTGTAAAAATTAAAATTTTTGTCTTATATAAAAGTTTTTAATTTTATTAATAAATATTTTTATTTTTATATTAAAATAAAAATTATAAATTATAGTTTAATATAATAATAATCAAAAATAATATAATAATAATAAAATTTATTAATTAAATATAATAAAATATAATTTTTTCTTTTTATATAAAAGTTTTTAATTTTACTAATAAATATTTTTTATTTTTATATTAAAATGAAGACAATATCATATATTTTTAACATATTTTTTATATTTAATCTGTTAAAGCTGTTTTAATTACATATAAAATTAATTATTTTTTTATATATTTAATTATAATAATTATTTTTATATGCAATTAGAATAGCTTCATCAGATTAAATTTAAAAAATCTGAAAAAATATATATATTAAAAATATATAATATTATCTTTATTTTAATATAAAAATAAAAATTGCATTTTACTATGTTTAATTAATAAATTTTGATATTGTTACATTATTTTTAATTGCTATTATATATATCTTTTCTGAATTCTAATTACAAAGTTTTTACAAAAATTTTTTATAATTAAAATATAAGATTAATTATAAAAAATTTTTGCAATAACTTTGCAATTAGAATAACTTTGTCAAATAAATCTAAAAATTCAAAATAAATATATATTAAACTATAATTTATAATTTTGTTTTGATTAAAGCTTCTTATAAGCTAGTTTACAAGTCAAAATTTTTATTTGTCATATTTCATATTAATTTATATATTAATAAATTTCATATAAAAAAAGTTCACAAGTCAAAATATCTATTTGTTATTTTTGTATTTGGCTTGTAAGCTAACTTGCAAAAAGCTTTAGTTTTAATATAAAAATAAAAAATATTTATTAATAAAATCGAAAACTTTTATATAAAACAAAAATTTTAATTTTTATTAATAAAATTGCATGTATAATTCTATAATTTTGTTAGTTATTATATAAATCCAAATTATTAAATAAATATATTTAAAAAACTTAATTCAGATGTTGTATTTTTTTAATTGCTATTATAATAAATTAAAAAAATATAGTTAGTTTTAACAAAAGTTAATTATATTAATAGATTTATAATTAAAATTAAAACTAAATAAAATTATTTATAACAAAATCTTATAATAAATATTTTTTGAATATAAAGATAATTTATAGATTTTTTTAATTTTATAATTCTATTAGTTAATTAATATTAATATTAATATTTAATATAATTTAATATTATTATTATATAAAATATATTAATTTTTCAAATATTTAAATAGTTTATAAAATTTTACTTGGATTTTGTATAAAATTTCACTTTGAAGTTCTATATAAATTTTGTAAAGATTTATAAGACTTATTTTTTTTATCTAATATGTAAAATATTATAATAATATATAATTTAATATTTGCTCTTTTTAACAAATCAGATAATAAAAAATATTTACTAAATTGTAATTTTTTAAGATGAAACTACAACTTTATAATTAGTTGTAATTTGAAAAATTTTATATAAAATAAATAAATTAGATTTTTGTTTTTGAAAATAGTTTTTTAGTTTTCAAACTAGTAGAAACAGTTCAATAGAATTTTGTTTGAGCAAATTTCACATAATTTTTTAAAGGAATAAATTATAAAAAATCCATTAAATTATCATTTCTTCTAATATTAATAATTATAATCTAGCTTTCAAAATCTACTTGATCATCGATCAAAGTGTTTTGTAATCTGTTTTCAGAACCATTCGTTTTTATTTTTAAGTCACATCCATAGTTAAATTTCATGTTATTAATAACATTAAATAAAAAATATTAATTTTTGTACTTCAAATATAGCAATTAGATAATACACGTGTGTCGATGTAATAGCGTGATCTTCGATTAGCGAAAAATTTTGGGATTTCTCGTATTTATTACTACGACAAAGATTACTCTTACTTGGATCCCAAACTAAAATCACCATACAAGATATCCGAAAAAGATTTTGATGGTCTGCCAGTCTCACAGAGACAGCGTATTGTCGTTTTTAGAAAATTTTAAATATTTGGTCAAAATTATTTTGTTAACCCAATGCTGATGGTTTTGTGATTAATATAGAAAATAAAGAAATAGATTGTTCTAATTAAATAAAGGGTGACTTTCAGATCAAACATAACAAACACACGAACTCTGCGTGTAATTCGTTACGTTTGGACTAAGTACTAATTAATATACTGAAATTTTGAAAAGAAAACAACTAATAGTAAAATATGATATATTAAAAATAAAAAAATTGTCCGTTGGAAAAAAATGTAAATTTCCTCTCTAATATTGTTTAGAAAATTAAATTAAGTGAAATAAGTTAAAAGACTGTACATTACAATAAGAAATTGAAAAAGGGTGATGATGTAAATAAAACGCGGTTAAATATTACTTTTCGCCCCAATCCCATAACTACCGCCCCCAATGATCAAGAAAATGAAAAATTATATTACAAAAAAGATTAAAAAATAATAAAAGAAAAAGTTCAAATAGTTGAGAAGAAGAGGCGACAACTTCCATATATATTCAAGAGAAGAGCGCTCTGCTTCAAACATAAGCATTATACCGGACAATGCATGTTTTATGGCCTACAATATTACCCTGCCTACATCATTACCACCATCTCTGAAATAATTTCTATATTCGAATATGCAATTTACAATCAATTAATCATAAACGATAATACCAACGACAGAAATGCCTTTCAAGCATACCCGTGAAGAATGACGAGCCAAAACATCCTTAATCAATGTTGATTAAATATCTTCGTGATCAAGATCATCGGTATGGTCAAGCGAAACATGAACATCATTAGATTGATGGTGTTTAAAAGAAGCGGATGACGCCGGAGAAGATAAGGAGGCATTTGATAACGAAGGTGAAACATGACGTAATTGTATATGTTGCGGCGGTGAATAGACACTTGCAGCTATATTATATTAACAGGTGATAGTGCAGATGATGAACCCGAACTTGCCAATTCATAAGTATTATTGAGATCCAGAGACATTCATACCCATATCCCAGTATAAACTATCTCCTTGGCCTAAATCAGACGCTGCAGGTACCGCAGTCATTATATTTGTCGAAGAAACGGTCGGGCTGAAAAATCCATCCGTTCCGAAGGCTGAAGAGGTAACCGTGCTCGGAAGAAAGGCTAGAGTAGCTGGTTGTGTATGTGGGGGTTGTTGAACATAAGTGAACGTGGGCGTATGATGAATGTTAGGAGATCGAGAACCGGGGTCTGTTATGGGACTGCTCAAATGCGTTGACGTAGGCGAAGAGTATGGACCGAAAGAATTATTGGGAATTGCAAACGTCGAAGAATGATCAGCTGCAAACATCGTACTGGCCGATACTTTGATGTGAGGTATATTTGAGGGCACAGTGGTGGTTGATGAAGGGACAGCTATTTCAATATATCGATCTCGATATGCTTCCAATGCTTTGATCATTTGATTAGCTAACTCTGACATTACTCCATGTTCAGCATAGAATCGACCAACATCAATTGTCTTAGAAATGTTTTTATAAGCATGATAGGCCAAACCTCTATCTGCAGAAGTAATATTGGTAACATGGACTCTCGCCGCTTGCGCCAGGCAATGAAACATGGTTGGATATGTTATGCACACATATACATTATTTAATGACACAGCTAAACAATAAAAATAA